AAGAAGGATCATTCTACATCCCAAATATTTTAATCGTAATGTACTGATACATTTGATGACTAAAACAGAATCTGTACCTATTTTAGAAAGTTCCTTCACATTTCCATTTTTATTATAGTAAAGAATTTACTACCCCAACTCGGTATTATGCATTGATGTTTAATCATAGTGGTACATACAGTATACAACCAGGCATCAAAAATCCATAACAAAAAAGGCAACATTCACATACTGTATATGACATTTTACAAAAGCCTTGAGAAATTCATATCAATTTCCTCCATATCATCAGCATTTTGATTCTGTAGCGTATACTGAATCTGCTGTGGCACACTGCCACGTACTGGAACGATTACGGGCTAGACCTTAGAAAAGCATTTAACAAAATATATAATGACAATCAGATTACTTTCAGTGGTCACGTCTACCCTACATTTTTCTGACAGCCTGATCAGTCCTGATACAGAAATCCAAAACCATCTGGCACAAATGATCCCACCTAAGGAAAAAAAAAAAAAAAAAAAAGACAATGGAATTTTACAATTCCAGCTGTAGTGTGTAGAGCATTCAAAACATAATGCTCATACAAACAATATACTAAAATGATTAAGTCAAAAACCCATAAAAAACTAAAATACAGAACTGATCACACAGTTACACTGTTGGTCAGACGATGAAGTGCAGGAGCACAAAAAGCCAAAAATGTATCCTGATGCTTAGGCTAGACAGAAAGAAACATTGTATAATGGAGGTTAAATGATTTAGATGTTTGAACAAACTAACCACTGATCGTTTTTAAGGCAACACTTGGTGCACCTCCTCATCAAAAGTCAAATACCTCAGTTATCTACAGAACAAACACAACATAGGGATGAGTTGTGAAAATCGAAGCACACATTAAGTCATTGTTTATTTTGATCCCATGAAAGGCAATTTACTGTATCCTCCTGTGGTGAGGTGCTTTATTTTGCCAGATGTAGTGTTACTGTACATAAACCCAGATATTCATGTCCTGTGTTTCAGTGTTTTAACTGAAAATGTTCACTAAAAGTAAAGAAAAACAAGGGACTCAGAGCAGCAGCATCAGAAATATTAAATGTAGTGCTTGAGAGCAACAAGTGTGCACAGTGTATCATGAGCTCCATGCATAAGAAGCCTATAATGTTGATCATATATGTGTATATAACAATGATATGATTCTGTATCTGTAGTTACATTCTTCAGAGCTCAGCTTGTGTTGTGTTGGGGTTTTACTAACTTTTTAGTTTTGTAATAACAGCAGTTATTACAACAATGGCAAAATGAAAACGGGATTATTAACTTACCTAATTTTACAGAATTCATAGGAGGCCCTCTAGTGGTGTCATGTGAACATGACAGCAGGGTGACACTCATTTCCTTGTAGTGTAATACATGTATTTCCTAAGATGATGACAAACGGGCAAACATTTTCCAAAATGGGTGAGATACGTTGTAATATCGCACACTACAGTTAGGTAGATTTATGTTAAAGCATGGTTTATTTATGTGACTGATGTTCTGTATGAAAACACTTTAGCCTTTAGGTAGGCTTATGATTAATTGTAAAGATCCCATTTTCTATAATTTAAACACCACAGTGCTACCCAGGTTTATCACACAGCTTGATGAATCTGTATCTGTAAACTGTCAACTACATGCCTGCAACACAAAGGCCAAGTCTGGACAAATAGTGTTTTTGAAAATGAGACGTATTAGTGCTCAACACTGTGAATGGGATTTCAAACAGTAAACACAAATGCTTCCAAAGTGCTTATAGAGAGAGGATAGAGTGAGAGAGAATGTGGATATGTGACGCCCACATAAGAAGGAAAAGCAGCAGTGGAGGGAAAAAGCTCGTCATGTTTCTTCTTCATTTGCACCTGCGAAGCGCCTCCTGCATCTTATCTTGCACATGCTCCATCTTTTCAGCCCACTCCTCACTCAGGCTCTCCTCGTCATCTCCAATGACGGCAGCGTAGCCCATGAGGGCAATGAGCCCGATGCAGAACAGGTAGGTGAGACGTGTGCAGAGTCGCTCCATGGTGCGGCGGTCGCCTTGCGAGTGCTTCAGGTAGACATCCAGGATGGGCCTGCTGAAGAGCTTCGGTTTACCCACCACGCCGTCGTACAGCGTGTGCAGATTCTGGTCCCCCAAGTCATTGGCATAGCTCTTCTCAAAGTCGTCTTTCTTGTGTGTACGGTGCTTCGGCAGTGCATCTACCATCTCCATGAACTTTCTGAACTGGTTCTTCAGGTTCTCCTCAACCTGACAGTATTGGCCATCCAGCGTTTCCTTTTTGATCTGTACCAGCGTGTTGCGATTCTGCTGGGAGAGCTGGTCCAGCGCCCGATTGACTGAGCCAAACTCGCGCTTCAGGGTGCGAATATCCTCGTCATCGATTTGGTGCAAAACCACTCGGATCAGGGAACCAGCCACGCCAAAAATGGGGTTAACCACGGCGGCTGCTGAGGAGATGGTGGCCACACACTCAAGCACTTTGACCAGGCCCTGCTTCAGCTTGGCCCGGTCCTCATTGATGTCCTCATCCATCCTGGTTTCCAGGTAGTGCAGGTGATGAAGATGACTAAGAGAGAGGAAGAGAGACAGAGGTTACTAGCCTGTTAATGATGGTCTATAGCAGGCCTCTGCCACACTTATCAGAATTAAAAGTGTGGATGCCCAATGGGACCTGTCAGAACCTAAGGGTTTGGGCCAGTTTCAAACAGAAATTTAGAAATTATGTTTGGGTCGGGTTCAGACATTTAGGCCAAACACAAATGTCTGCTTCATTTAATGATGAGGGCAAAAGAAATGGACAAACTCAACTGTGTCAGGCTCTGGTTGAGTTTGGACGCCACATTCTTGGAGACCGGTCGGTTTCGGACAGAAATATGCAGTCTGATCCATGCTCTAATCAGAATGAGGCATTCTGGGTACAGCTTAAATCCCCAGACTTACAGTAGTATTAAAACAGCAGCAGGGTCATTTTACAGTGGTGGTGGGGTGTCTGTTTTTCTAACATAAATTATTGTCAAATGGACTCTGTAGAAAATACCAAATACCCAGATGTGATATTTCACCAACAATGAATTTACCTGAGACAGACAATTTATTTGCTCTATACTGATCAAGCATAAAGTAAATGGGACTGTGTTTTCCCAATAATCTTCATTTAAGAGTTTTTTGAGAAGAAAAAAAAAAAAAAAAAATCATATTTGTTGCCACTTCTAGAGAAATGTAAACATTGTTCCATTGGCACATGTAGAATTGAATCCAATTATTTTCTTGAGTCTTTTAACTCTGTACAATTTAGCTGAAACAAAATGATATACAGTGCCTTGCGAAAGTATTCGGCCCCCTTGAACTTTGCGACCTTTTGCCACATTTCAGGCTTCAAACATAAAGATATAAAACTGTAATTTTTTGTGAAGAATCAACAACAAGTGGGACACAATCATGAAGTGGAACGAAATTTATTGGATATGTCAAACTTTTTTAACAAATAAAAAACTGAAAAATTGGGCGTGCAAAATTATTCAGCCCCCTTAAGTTAATACTTTGTAGCGCCACCTTTTGCTGCGATTACAGCTGTAAGTCACTTGGGGTATGTCTCTATCAGTTTTGCACATCGAGAGACGGAAATTTTTGCCCATTCCTCCTTGCAAAACAGCTCGAGCTCAGTGAGGTTGGATAGAGAGCGTTTGTGAACAGCAGTTTTCAGTTCTTTCCACAGATTCTCAATTGGATTCAGGTCTGGACTTTGACTTGGCCATTCTAACACCTGGATATGTTTATTTGTGAACCATTCCATTGTAGATTTTGCTTTATGTTTTGGATCATTGTCTTGTTGGAAGACAAATCTCCGTCCCAGTCTCAGGTCTGTTGCAGACTCCATCAGGTTTCCTTCCAAAATGGTCCTGTATTTGGCTCCATCCATCTTCCCATCAATTTTAACCATCTTCCCTGCCCCTGCTGAAGAAAAGCAGGCCCAAACCATGATGCTGCCACCACCATGTTTGACAGTGGGGATGGTGTGTTCAAGGTGATGAGCTGTGTTGCTTTTACGCCAAACATAACGTTTTGCATTGTTGCCAAAAAGTTCGATTTTGGTTTCATCTGACCAGAGCACCTTCTTCCACATGTTTGGTGTGTCTCCCAGGTGGCTTGTGGCAAACTTTAAACAACACTTTTTATGGATATCTTTAAGAAATGGCTTTCTTCTTGCCACTCTTCCATAAAGGCCAGATTTGTGCAGTATACGACTGATTGTTGTCCTATGGACAGAGTCTCCCACCTCAGCTGTAGATCTCTGCAGTTCATCCAGAGTGATCATGGGCCTCTTGGCTGCATCTCTGATCAGTCTTCTCCTTGTATGAGCTGAAAGTTTAGAGGGACGGCCAGGTCTTGGTAGATTTGCAGTGGGACTTACAGCTGTAATCGCAGCAAAAGGTGGCGCTACAAAGTATTAACTTAAGGGGGCTGAATAATTTTGCACGCCCGATTTTTCAGTTTTTTATTTATTAAAAAAGTTTGAAATATCCAATAAATTTCGTTCCACTTCATGATTGTGTCCCACTTGTTGTTGATTCTTCACAAAAAATTACTTTTATATCTTTATGTTTGAAGCCTGAAATGTGGCAAAAGGTCGCAAAGTTCAAGGGGGCCGAATACTTTCGCAAGGCACTGTAAATATCATAAATAAATCAAAAATGAAAATAATAGTTCAGCCATAAATGAGTCATGTACATTGTAAATTAATTTGATAGGCCTGGGAAAGTGTCCATTATGTGTGACCAACACTTCAACAGCCACAGTATGAATCAGCTGGCTTCACTTCTCAGCTGCTCAATACATCGGCTTTAAGGTTGACTGAACAGTAACATTTAAAATATGTTGACCACCTGACACTGTTGTACAGAGCAACTTGTTTTCTGCTTGCCCTGACAGCCACAGGGAGCAGGCATTTCATGGGCCATTCTCAGACTATTCCAACATGTTAGACAAACGGTTGTGACAGAAATCTGCTGTTTAAGTGTTGGAGAGCTGTAGCATCTTACATGAAGTCTCTTGTCTTCAAGCTCACACAGGAGCCTCAGCCCGTGTTGTTAATGTAAGCAAACCGACACTGGTCCTGACCAGATAATTCCTGAAACAAAATACATAGAGTAAGAGATAAGTAGTGATACAAATGCATCCAACACTGAACATGTCTCTGAACCAGGAAGTGACAGGTTTTTGTCCCCAGGTGGTTGCAGTTTTCAGCAGCAGTGAAGGAGTTAACAGCCTCTCCTTTGCTGAGAGACGGCTCAGTTCAGCGCTGCAGCCTTTCAGCACCAGGCTTCTCTCTATGTGTTTCTATGGACTGAAACGATAGCTCCTTGGCAGCAGCGAGCTGAATGACGAAGACATGTAGAGAAGCTAGCAGCAGCTAGTGGGTGGGACAGAGAAACTCTAGCCACAGCTCAGTGGGAAAACAAGTGTGCCCCCGCTGTCGTAGCTGTGAGACGCGTTCATTACATGACAGGAGCTATTGAACATAATGTGTTATGGTTTCAGGTGAGGCCAGATGTAGATGTTTAAAGTGAAACCTGTGCTAAGTGACTGCTGAAAGCTACAAGAAAAGCTCAGACACCATTTGTCTTTGCTAAAACAGGATTATACATTAGTGTTTTGCCACAAACAGAAGCGTGATATTGGACAGTCAACCTTGAAGCTAAATTTGGTCCCAGCACTTCTAACAAAAAAGGAAGAGTGTGTGCCATAAAT